AAAAAGAGAGAAATTGTTCTGCCCTTAACAGCCTCTGACAGAAACCTAATCTACGGAAAACAATCTTTGCAGTATTTTTTTGGACTAAACTACTACATAGAATCATACAAGTGTCATACTGCATGCCAAGGGGCATACAGTTCAGAGGCACATTAAGACAAGAAACTTAATGCCTAGTTGGCATCATGGAAATATTTGTATAGGAAATACACTGCGATTCAGAAATCTGTGTTAAAATGCAATTATTTTTCTAATCCGCACCTGTTAATAATATTCAGAAAATAGCCTTATGTCCTCTCTAAAAGAAAGCAATATATTACAGCGCAGATAATTCAGGTAAGTACAAGCACTTTGCGTAAATAAGACGTTGTAAATCAGACACTTTCTTTATAAGCCACATGGCTTCTCTTTTAAAAAAGATGTCGCTTTTCATACAGATAAGTTAATTTAAGTACTTCACAGCAACTGATGACTAATGAATCAAAACTTATTGAGGGAAACCAAATTGGTTTATTATTCACAACAAATTAATAGCTTTTTTGAAATATCATTTGATTAAACAGTATATTAGCCTTGACTAAATGGTTAGCATCATCAACTCCCTCCAACCACAGCTACCCAAAAAAGATGTTGTCCAAGGTTGTCAGCTTGCTGAGATGTGTACATAACAATAATATATTTGCTTTGAAGTTACATTTTATCTCACCCATAAATGCTTTTTTAAACATAAAAATGTATTTTAGATAACTCAGTGATAAGAGACAGCTAGTTTCCAAAAGGAACGTAGATAGGCAGGGATGTTTGTGTGCAAATGAAAAGTAACAAAAAGGGAGAAATTAATTTTTAAAAAACAGTACCACAAACGGATGAGGCAACCGTTTGCCCTTGACGTGTAGAAAAATACTGCTTCATTTGTACATGTTTACTGAAGGGTTTTTCAATAAACTTATTTGCTTAGCTTACAGAAGCGACGGTTTATCAGCTTCACTCTTATTGAAATTAATCCTTTGCCATGCTGACTTACAATAAAACAAGCACTCAAAATCACAGAAAGAGGCAGTAAGCCACCTCCTTTTTGGCTGCAATCCTCAGAACATCTCACTGGAACTTGGAGAAAACTTACATAGGATTGTGCTGCTTGTTTCAGAATCATGTTGCAGGTATGTGGAAGTCCAGGGACTTGACCCACAAACATATATAGACTCACAAACAATGTTGCTTACACCTGTTAGGCTACAATCCTATGCACACTTTTCTGGAAGTCTTGGAACCCAATGGAGATTACTTCTGAGGAGACATGCCCCGGATTGCACTGCTAATGTTGTGCTGATGTTTTGCTTATGTCTAGGATATTTGATTTAACCAGCTGAGCATTCTAACCTCTCAATTTTTAGTGTAAAAATGGGGGGGGGGGGGAGTCCCCTACCGTGCTCTTTGCTTCTCCCTTTAAAAAGTGTCTCTACTATTCTAACTTAATTCAGTGAGGAAGAAAGCACAGCCATAACAAAGCGCAGTAAAACAACAAGATGAGAAGTCAGAGGAGTTAACTCTAAACGTACTGCTGCATCATAATAACCCCCAATATAAGAAGAAAATATTAAAGTGTAGAGATTCTACATCTTCAAAGAGGGGAAAGCGTTAACTGGAAACAATTTAGAAAACCTGGTCTAAAGTTTCACACGCAGCTGTCTGAAAAAGTCTCAGGATTCTCAGCTGAGAAATCAGGTGTCCCAACCACACTGCTATTCACACACAACTGTTTCCATATTGTTATTTATTTTTTTTTGAAACGTATCAGGAGTCTGCGCCCCAGTTCCAACCCCTGAATCCTAAAACTAACAGAATCAGTGCTAATGCCCTCAGACTTGAACTTTCTGTTCTAAAGGGGTTTGTTATTTTCAACAATAGGAATGTCCTCTTTTGACAGATTTCATCCCCCTTCCTTTTCTCCCCCAGCCCCACCCACTCCTCTCTTGTGCCAAGCAAATCCTCTCCTCTCTTCTCTCCTTGGTAGAATAATCTCCAGTGGAGGAGAGGGGTATCTTCTTCACTACCTATTTCCTAAACTCTGAAACAAGGTTGGGTTCTGGGCTATCTGCAGATGTCTAAAGTCAACTGTGGCATGAAAAGTCTGGTGGCGCGAGAAGAGGTGGTTTACATAAATGTACACCTCTTGACAAAATTTTTGTAATTACTTCGCACTTGGAAAACTTTTTCTGGTTTAACAGCACTGGCTCTACACAATCACACACACACACACACACACAGGTTCCATAGGAAAAGCTTTTTTAAAAAACTAGTAGGTTCATGTTGGGCAAACTTCTGCTCATTTGACTTTTGAGTCATACAAAGTTTTAACCAGCAAAATAATGAGGAAAGATAACTGTCTCGTTTACTTGCAATTCAAATAATTAGACCAAAAAAGTGTGCCGCTTAGAAATGGGTATTTCCCAATTGTTTTCTTCCACAAGTTAACTAAAGACTACAGGGGTATATTAAACAAAACAAATCTGATAAGCAGAACTAAAAAGACAAGGCCCATTTTACAATCTACCACCCCAAGCATCTTTCTTTTAAGATAACCTTTAAATTTCCTTTTTATTCAGAAGAGCTAAAGATGTATCAGGACAAAATGTTCCTGCTTTTTACTACATAATTTCAGCATGTTTTAGAGATGTTAAACTTGGAAAGAATGTTTTGTTGTGTGTGCATACATGTGACCATTTAATTGCAGAAGGATAACTCATCCGATCACCAACTCAAGAAACCCACAACTGACTTTTTTCATTTGATTCAGTTATACTGAAACTAGTTTAAAATTAAATCTGAATTTAATACAAGTATGAATTTAATACCAATTATCTTAAAATTGAATTGGGGCAAAAATATGTGCCACTTTTTATATGGAAGAAACTCTGTGTTTATACTTACTTATATGAAAATTAGGAATATTTAGACTGTGAACTGAACAACGTTTTATTTCTATTTCATGGAGAAACCTTTCTGCCCAATGACTACCTGGCTTGTGGAAATATAATAATAATAATAATTTATTATTTGTACCCCGCCCATCTGGCTGGGTTTCCCCAGCCACTCCATAGAAACCAAAAAACACTAAAATATCATACATTAAAAACTTCCCTGAACAGGGCTGCCTTAAGATGTCTTCTGAATGTCATCTTAAGGCAGACCTGTTCAGGGAAGTTTTTAATGTATGATATTTGGCACTTAAGTCTCCAAGGAAGTGGTTTTGCTTAGCATCCTTACATATGTAAAGAGAGAACCCATTATAAATTATAAATAGCATGCTTGCTCCCCATCTATAAATAGAGACATATTATGAGAAAGGCATATGAGCTGTATGATCACAGACTCTGGATCATGCTCCCAGGTACTATGCATGCTTAGTGAGGAAATGTGTAAATTAGAAAGATATAGACTTGATTTATATCACACTTTTTCTTGCTGATTTTTTTCAAATCACCAATCATGGTGTATCTATGAGCATTCTTTTGCCCTCATGTTTTAAATTCAGTTCTTCCACTACAGCTCCCTCTTCAGTCAAATCCACTCTGCTACTACAAAGGTCCTTTCTCTATTTCCAACTGCCCAGGGTGTCGTGTCATCAGCTATGTTTGCACAAGCAAAGCAACCTGAAAAAAGTATAGGATGGCAATTGTCTGCAGAAAAAATGGTATCCGCTCAGAGCTTCCCATAAACCTATGCCTATCTGGTGGATCTTATTCTGAATAAATAAATCACACATCCTAATAATGACGGTTTGTCCAGCGTCACTCAAAATTAAGTCTTCACTCTGCATAAGCATGCATCAAAGCAGTACACAAAATCCTACTTTTTAAAACCTGACTAGAGAGGGTTATTTATTATGTCTAAGTTACTACTTAACTCCTATCAGCCCTTAACTCAAATCAACACCACAGTTAAATGGTTCTCTGTGTTGTGAAACACTGGCATCAGTAAGGCCTGCTTAGGCTGCCTGCCAGCAGTGCTACTGGTGCTTTTCAAAAGATACATATATTTCTAGGTGCATAAGATGGGAAAGTGCATATGGGTGCCCTGAAATAAACAAGCCCCCCACCCACCCCTCGCTCCCTTCTCGTTGCTCTCTAGGCTAATCTACTTCTTTACTAGAAAAATGGGCAAAGATCAGGTTGCAAAAATTGAAGAAGATTTGAGGCTTTTAATAAAAGCCTTTACAGTCAGAAGATTAGTAATGTCTTACTGATAAGGATGGGATGAAGTGTTGTCACAGCTTAAAGGACTCAATTCTGAAACTTTTTGTCAGTGTGTGAAGATTCCCAAGTTGGAGTGTGCCTTCCTCAACAGCTGCAAACTGGATTGAAAAGGTGCCCTTGTGCAGGTGTCTTACTTCCCCCACCCAGTGACAACACTTGTGCAATATCTGGGGGCAAGGAACTTGGACTTCCATGCATCTGTTGGAACCCGGGGCATCTGCCAACTAAACACTGGGCCTGTGTGCTCACCTCTATATTAAAAGTGTGCCATCCTTCCTTTTCCCCTTCCAAAGGAGATTGACAGGGGGGGCGGGAGACTTCAAAGTGGCAACAGAAAAGGGTCAGGTTTCCATTTCATTTTAGTAAGGCTCCAATCCTGAGCTTGCTTCCAAGCGAGGAAGAACTGCACTTCTGCACCCACTTACCTGGGAGCAAGCCCAAGCGAACTAAAGTGGAGGGTCACTTCCACATAAACCGGTCTGCAAGTCCCGCTGAACTTTTGAGCCAAACATGTTCTGGGCTGAGCTGCACGTGTTTACATGCAGCAGCAGCAGAGGCAGAGATCGCCCTAGAGGCGCTCTGAGCAAGAGTGTGTGTGTCTATTTATTAGAGAGAGGAGCTCGGCGGGGTGGTTTTAGAAGCTGCGCAAAGCGCTCCAGAAGGGCGCACGCTATTTCCCACCCCCCTCTCCTTTCTCTTCGCCGCCTTCTCCGCTTTTATTCCGCCTTTTCTGCACGCGCTTACCTTGCGTTGGTGCAGTCGTTGTAGAGGGTCTCGAAATCCTTCCTGGAGATGAGCTTGCAGCGGTTGACGCCGGGCTGGATGGCGCCCAGGCCCCTGAGGATCCGGACCTGCTCCACGTTGCAGACGACGGGCGTGATCTCCAGGCGCTTGAGCTTGGTGTAGACGGTGTGCAAGCCGCCCACCAGGTGCTTGAGGAAGAGGTCGAAGGCCTGAGGCAGGCAGATCAGCTCGCAGCCCTCCACCGTGAACGAGGCCACCTTGGCGCCCCGCAGGTCCACCATCTTGCACTCGTTGTTCTGAGGCGTGTTCTCCACCGGCGAAGGGGTCGAGTACACCGGCTTGCCCGGCACGCCGACGCCGGCAGAGGTGCCCGCGCTGGGCGCAGGCGGGGGGCCGCCGCCGCCGCCCCCTGCGCTGGAGGCTCCTCCGCTGGAAGCGCTGCCGGTGCCCAAGCTGGCGCTGCCATTGCTCTCCCCGCCTCCGTTGCTGGAGGCGGCTGTGGCGGACGCCGCCGCCGCCGCCGCGACGGGCTCCGTCCGGAACAGGCTGGCCGCCCCCGACGAGGCTGCTGCCGCCGCCGCTGCTACCGCCGAGGCCGCTGCGGCCGGCGGGGAGGCGGCCGACGAGGTGCTGGTGCTGGTGGTGGCGGTGCAGGCGGCCGAGGTGGAGATGGGCGGCTGAGGGGGCACCAGCTGCGCCGGCGGGATCAGGGGAGCCGGGGCGGCCATGGCCGCATGAGGCGGCGCGGCGGGAGCAGCAGAAGCCTCAGCCCGACCCCCACCCCACCCCCTTGACGGAAAAGTGGGCAGGGGGGGGCGCAAAATAAACGGAGAAAGAGGCGGCAGCTGTGTTTTATGCGGGGAAGGGGGGAAAGGGAGGAAAGTTGGCTCCCTCGCGCGCACCGTGGAGAGGGTTTAAAAAGCCATGTTTGGGGGCGGGGGGAGCGGAAAGTGCGCGGGGGGGGGCGCAGAAAGAGAGAGAGGCAAGAGGCGGGGAGGGGGGAAGCGTCCCGGCAGCAACTGTGAGGAGAAGGAAGGAAGAAGTCCGCTTTGGAAAGTGGTGGCGCAGGAGGAGGAGGAGGCGCGCCAGGGGAGGCGAAGGCGCAGGAGAGGGGCGAGCTCGGTTTGTGGTGCGTCTCTTCTCTGGCTGCTGCTGTTGCTGGTGGTTCTTCTTCTTCTTCTCCGCCCCCCCCCCCTCCGCTCTTCCTCACGAGCACCTAGTTAGAAAGAGGAAGGAGGCGGGCTGCCGGTGCGGGGCTGGAGCTGTGAGCTCGCTCTCGCCGGGACGCGGAGCAAAAGGAGGAGGAACGTGGAGGGGCGCGCGGGAGGCTGGGGCGAAGCGCCGGCTGCTGCTGCTGCTGCTGCTCCCGCGGCCGCCAGCCTCTTCTCCTGGCTTCTCTGGACGTGGACGAGTTGTTGTTGTCACACGGTACAGGGAAAGGGGCGGAGCTCCGGCAACTTGAAATGCCCCTTTGAAGCGCGCCCCAGCCTCTCCCGCACCCGCGCGGCGGCGGGCATTAGCCTCAATTATCCAACCAGGAAGCCAAGAGCCAAAGGGAGAGGGAAAGCGGAGATGCGCGGGGAGATCTCTCCTCCTCCTCCTCTCCAGAAACCGTTAGATTGCATGTTTCACGTTTCATCCCATCAGAGGTGAGCTCTGTAATTTTCCAATTCCCACTCTTCCCCCACCCCGCTTTCTCCCGCCCCTCCCCCAACGGGAGGTGGGGGTGGGATAAAGAGAAGCAACACGCTTGTCAACACGAGTTTGATGGAGAACACGCTCTAAGATTGACCCAGGGACAAGCGGTTGGTGCAAGACACGAAGGGCCCAAAAGATTTTCATTTTTTTTCCAAGTAAGGAAAAAGTAGCGCGCGAAGCAACAGCGCTCCTGTTTTCCTAAGTGTCACTTATGACTTACTTGCAAAAACAAAACCCCGTTTCAAAAGCGAGGTGGAAGGATCGGAGTTGGGGGGGGTAACATTCTTTCATTTGTACACTCCACTCCTTTGAAGATAGTAAACAATTGCAGAGAGCGACTTGCGGGGTGGGGGGGAGGCTGGAAGTTGCATATTTGTTTATTAACGCTGCTCGGAGTGGGAAGGGAAGCGTCATAATTACTGCTCCTGAGAGCGCTTTGTTGTGCGGAGGGCTGCGATGAAACGCGAAGCGCGCGGAGAAGAAAGAAGGGGATAGAGCTACAGATATATATAGCATTTCCGGGAAATAATAGGCATTTATGGATCAAAGAGCCCAAGGTACTTACATTTAATGCAGTTGAGAAATAACATATGTTGTGGGAAGGGATTCTCAAAGCAAAAAAGCTGGCGGGGTAGACATATAGAAGGGGGCAGATGTTCGCCAATAAACTGTTGCAGCGAGTCTCTCCCCCCCCCCTCCATATCCCCCTTCTTCCTTTACACCGAGGCGTTTTCAGAAGTACAGAACCTCCAATTTTAATGTGTGTCTTTCGCCTGTATTTTGACGGCTCCTCTGTTTGTCTTGTGTCCCTATTATTGGGGGGGCGGGGGAGAAAGGAATTAGCGAGCGCTGCTTTGAACTAGAAGTGAAGTAACTTTGCAAACGTTTCTTAAGCGGAGCGAAGTCTACACAGACGGCGCTGTGCCATCAACAGGTGGCACCGCCGCCTGATCCGGGCTGAGATCTCTTTGGAAGGAGCGGCGCCGTGTTTACTTGGGAGTCAACCTGCGCGGAATCGGACTAGAAGGAAGCCTGCGCGTTCTATGTTACTCTGGCCCTTGCGCTGCCAGGCGCAAACGGGGGTGAGCGATCTGGCGTGCGATGCGCTCAAAACTAAGGGTCTGGCCGGTGAGCCCTTGCTGGTGCTCAGCGGAAGGCTGCGCACGTGCTTGCATCTCGCTCGCCCCATTGATGCGATGGGGATGGCAAGGGGCCTTGCGCTTCGCCTGGATCGCGCGCCCCGTCTCGTGGAGACGCCTCTCGCTCTTCCACCGAAAGCAGCAAGACTCAAGCAGCTCTGGGAAGCGCGCCGCTGCTGCTGCTTTTGCGCCCTACCTGCAGCCGATGAATGACTGGGGCCCTTGGCCTGCGCTCTTCTGCTTAGTGGAGTCCACTGGAGTTTTGCCACGCGGGTGGCGAAGCCAATAAGGGCAGAGAAGTAGTGGGGGTGAAACCGCTCGGAGCAGTGCCAACCAAGCCCAAAGCCTTCTCTTTCACAAGTCTGAAAGGAGAATCAATACTTCCCTTAGGGCCCAATTGTTTATGGCTATTAAAAGCGCCACAAGCAGGCTGCGTAGTAAATTGTTTAGGCTGCTAAACAATTTTGGGACCTACTGAGAGGGAGACTCCGCTGGGAGGGAAAAAAGCATTTTACTGAAGCTGGATGACACATTTTAAAAGGCAAAGTGTGTGGCTGAAGATGAATTTGTAAAGTTTTGTTTTTTAAAAACTTCCATCTCTAGGAAACATTAGGAAAATAAAGCCAGGAGCCACCCCTCAGGCTTCCCGTTTTCAGCCAAGGTTGAAATCATTGAGAGATGCTTGAAAGGTTGTTTTTCCTTATTGGCATAATACTGTACTACTGTTCAAATAGTGGTTGCAATGTCTTGGCTGGAGGCTGGTTCACTTCACCTGAAAGGATCTAGATTGCATGCTTTCTCATACTCATACCAGCATTTAACATCCTTTTCATGGTGGGGAGTATGTCCATTACCACATAATGTCACCATGGGTGATTTCAGACTCATGTATAAATTTCATGTATAGGTGTATGTAAAACTTTCCCAATATTTGAGATCTCCCCCCCCCCCCTTTGGGGAGCAGAACATATATAAAGTATTGGGTTGTACCATATGTCATTTGAAAATACACTGATTCCAACTTATTCCTAAAGTTTGGGCCTGTTTCCCATCATACAAAATATGCTACAACAGGGCTGGCTGAATAACTATGGTGACCCATATGCATTTATTCAGAAGTAAAATCTATTGTTTTGAATGGAACTTACTCCCAGGTAAGTGAGTTTAGGATCACAGCCTAAACCACCCCTATGTGACTCCTGGCTGAATATATTGTGAACTGATGCCATTGAAAAGCACTGCATTTGAGATGATATGAAAGATCTGTGTTGCTTGATATGTGAAGACTCATTCATACATGCAAAACACCACTTGAGGCTGCCTGCAGTTATTTTGTGAGGAATATGCAAATATGAACCAGGCCTGTGTGCCTGGTTCATACCTGCATATTCCTCAGTCTGCCTGTGTCCGCTTTGCTGCATGGGTTGTGCACACATTTGAGATTCTGTGGCTAACTACAGCTTCCCCGGATAACAAATTTCTGATAGCACAGATAAAAAGTGCACATTTGCATATGGCTTTTCCTACATGGAAGTCATACTTGTATAGGAAATAGTCATGTGTTCTTTATACTAAGTTGTATTGAAATCAATGTGTCATGCTGATAAATTGGCTTAGGAGTACAAAAGATCTTAAGCAGCAACTGCAGTCTGATTACGGAACCATTTTCTATGTGTATTATTTTATATGTATGTTCCATAATCTTCACTTAAGGACAAATAATTGATTAAAATATCTTGGAGAGGAGAAGAGTGGTCCTTTTAAAGTACGTGAGTACCAATAGCAATAAAGTATTTAAATCCATGGGTGCTTTGTAGGCGTTAAATTATTTTGGCTGCTTTCTTTACACCTTTGCATGACAGCAAGTCCAGTGGAATTGAGAACCTGCAATCAGTTTGTATAAGCCTTATCAATTTCACTATGGGAGGTCTACAGTGTTGAGACAATCATTCTGACCCACCTTACAGGGTTGCTGTAAAAGTTAATGGCATACAGCTCAGTCATATATGTTTACTCTAGGCCCTCCTGTGTTCAGGGGGACTTACTTCTGAGTCACAGCCACAGATTGCAGCCACAGGATTTGAAATGTTGTGAAGGCTGTCCAAGTTCTACACAAGTACAAGGTATTTGTCCTACACAACACTGAAAATCGGTGGCAGTTAAAATTTACATCCTGGTCTGTTCAATTAATGGAAACACCAGTGTTTGTAACAAGCTTTAGAAAGGAATATTAAATAACAAATATTTAAACATGTGACAGGTGTCTCAAGACAGACACATGGTGTGAAGTGGGCACCTTCGCTTTTCAGGTTAATTAATAAAAGGTGTGTTCTTAAAACATGGCCTGCTGCTTCTAAGGCACCTCTTTTAAAACTTTCTTTAAACTGAAGAAATGGGTCATAATTTCAAGGCTGGAATCTTGGGTATCAAAAGCACAAGGAAAAGCCAAACAAGCTTGCTTTTGCAGTGACAAGACTGTTAACTATAATAGCCGAGCCTTCCTTCATAAAATTAAGACTCTGTATTTGCCTCTCTGATTCCAGTGCAACCATTGGAAAGAAAAGATGTATTTGCCTTAAAGAGTCCACCTGAACAAATAAATAAATAAATAAATGCTAAACTATGACTAAAGACGTGAATTTTTGTTGATTGTTGTTGAACACCTGTGAGAGAGCAAGGGCACTTGAACTCAACTCATTCCGAAATATGCATATAAATAGGATTGCCGGGTACAATCCTGAGCATCGTTTCTTGCAAATAAGTGCCGCAGAAATAAATGGATTTAACACAGGTTCGGGCTCAAAGTATCCTGCAGTTGGTGTGAAAGGCTCCTCTCTCGCGTAACCACTGGTGCTTTTTTAATCTGCGCAAGGTGGACACACGTGAATTGCGAATCCCGAGCCCAGTAACTCTTTCCCTTCCAGGGGCGACTTCTCTTCTCGCTTCATCTTCCTGTTCTCGGAGTGAGTCGATTAACTTTGGTCTCCAGAGTCCTGAAGCTGCCAAGGGAACACAACCAAGAAGTGGAGCCCCAACAAAGCTCTCTTGAAGCTTCATGCGTGGAGTCTCAGCAAAGTACTGGATGGGGGGTGTGTGGCCTTGGGCACACGCGACCTAAACGCCATTCCCACGACCTGTTGTCCACGGACTTCCAAAACTGGTCCAGTCTCGACGCAAGTGTGCGCGTTTAGGACTAAGAGGCTAACGCAGCGCAAAACCCACTAATAACATTGCGTGGCTATGCGGCGCCCCTTAAAACACGGCGAGGCTCATTTATTATTATTATCATAATTATTGTTACCCATCGGCCCCTTCAAAAGAGGGTTCCCCCTCCCTGCTCTCTCCCTCCTCAGCAGCCGCATCCCTTGCGCGTCCGCCTTACTCCCAAGTAGCCCAAGTGAGAAGGGAACTTTCTCCGTGTGTGTCAAGTAGGAGACTTATGGTGTTGAAATCAATAAGACTGTTTAAAATTCAAAGACCTGCAAATCGTTCTGTTTGTCCTTTGATAGGGCCTCTGCTGATTAAAATGCGACCAAGAAAGCTTAATTGCTGCACTAATTAAGAAGTCTTTAATTTCTTTCCTGGAATATTGTTTGAAGCTGGGTTTCTCTTCTATTCCTCGCAGCTTGTGGAGGGCAGAGTCTCTCCCCCCCTCTCTCCCCCCCACCCTCCATCACTCCCTCTGACCCTTTCGATGAATAAACAATGCGCACTGGAAACAGTCAGATGAATAGATAGTGATCCTAATTTATTACTTTCAAAAACACCTGCTCCAGAGTGCGCTGCTTTACGAAGCCCGGGGCCGCGGAGCGACGCGTAAGATGCGCATTAGACGACGCGCGTTAAGTGCTCTAACCGCACCTGAGTGACAGCAGATAAACGGGGGCGCAATTTCCTCCTGTCTCTCTCTTCCCCACCTCCACCCCCCTCCTCACGCCTCTCCAACTTCTTCCTTTCTTTCCCCCTTTGTCGTTAGCGGGAAAGAAATATTTCAGCTCATCAGACGGACGAAAATATCCTTAGCTTTAGGAAAGGAGGAAGACCGAAGCAAGTGTTGGGGGGGAGATGGGTGCCCCTCTTAAATTCATCACCATATACTTTCTTCTGTTTATTTCGACTCCCCTCCCCACCGCTGCTTTCCTGAGAAATACAATGACCCCATTATGCTTCGCCCCCTGCCTCCTGCCTATTGACCGATCTTTACCCAGCCATTTCTCAAAACTGGGGGGGACGGACTCATGAATCTTGCCCTGTGATCAATAGCCCTTAAAAAGAGAGCGGATGTATTTATTCTGCGTTCCCAGCGTGCGCTTGCGTGAGTTAGAGAGGAGTGCGAGGTTAGGAAGGAAAGAGGCGATGCAACGCCAACCACCGTTTACTCCAGAGTAGCCTCAGTGAGGTAGACCCCCTGCACCGGGCAAAGTGCAGGACAAAGTTGGCAAGCAAGTTTCCGGGTTGTCCCACAAGTGGGCACGATCCAGCCAAAGCAACTTGCCTTTCCCAAATGCTGCTTCTCTGTATTGTCAGGGGCTCTGCGGGAAGGGCTGGATCGTGTCCCATCTTGAGAAATGGGAGTGTCTGGGCGGGCGGTTTAAACGACTTAACGAGATACCCTGTGGATTGTGAATTAATTGTAGTATTATTATTTTTTTAAATTGTAATTTAAAAAGATAGGCGCATGTTGTTGTTTTTTATTTTCTTTGCTTCTAATATGTTGAATTCCTGCCTTGCAGGGGGTTGGACTAGATGACCCAAGGAGCCCCCTCCAACTGCACAATGCTGCGATCCTGTGCGCTGCGTTTGGAGAGCCTGACTCTGCGGAGGCGGCAGCCGCTGGGCTTCGAACTTCTAACACGGCGGTGGTGAACCAAGCCCCGCCTTCCCCTTCTATAAATACACCGAGGCTTCTCGTCGCTGACAGGACGACTAGATAACACGCTTAATACAAATACAAAAGGGCTGGTTGCCATTCAAGGCACGGCGGCTCTCTAATTATGTTTATTCTAATTGAAAGCAAAAAGGTTTGATTTTGCAGGGCGGGGGGTGGGGGCTGGCGGAGGAGAGATGCCGGGGGAAGAATCTGAAACGACTTTTAGGCTGCTTTGGATTTATTTTTAGTAAGGGCAGCGGGCCCAGTGTGCTTCGCAAGCGTCTCCATCAATCTCCTGCTGAAGGAGCAAATAAATAGATATATATGTATATTATTTAAAAAGGGAGAGAGCTGTTGGGGAGGAAAACTCACATCTCCAACGGAGACCGTATATAATGCCCCCAGGGGTAAAGGAGAGAGAGAGAGAGAGAGAGAGAGAGAGAGACCCCAGTAACAGCGGAGTTTCCAGACTTCACGCAAATCAATTGAAGCCCACTCCTTATGGCCAGACTGCCAGATTGTTATGACTGCGAATTCAGTCGATCAAACAGCGCATTAGCACCCTCGCCACAAACAGGCTGGACACAAACAGCATCCGCTTTGGAACAATCGGCGTTATAGATCATTTGAAGCAAACACACACACACAAGCAAGCCCGGAGGCCCCAGTGCAAATGCGGATCCTTGGCTCAAACGAAAAGTGGTGCCAAATAAATGCGCAGCGCAATCCTAAACACCACGTTTAATCTGAAGGGGGTCTCGGTGGGTTTCAATGTCTGCTTAGGATTGCAGCCTTAGACATGGTTTGCAGGGCGGAAAAGCCTCCAGGAGCTGGAGCAGACACGTCGTATTAAAGTTCCGGCAGGCCGGAAGCTCTTTAAAGGGGATGTAAACTGCGAATTGGACGTGGCCGAGGGGAGTTCAGTCTTTTCAGCGCCTTTGGTAGCAGGAAGCTTAGAGCCCCGGCCCTTTGAAAGCTCGCAGCTCCTTATAAAGGTGCAAGTTCCTTTGAACTCGGTTGGGCTTCCTCGCGAGTAAGCTTAGGCGCGAAGCGGGTTGCTGCGTGGACGAATCTGGGGAAGCCCAATTCAGAAACGACCCTCACGTCGAGGCCGTGGTTCCGAGCTCATACAGACGAGCAAACGATTCCGCGGTGTTCCTCCTCGCCCGGGTCATTTGTGTCAATTCACATAGCCATCAGAAGTCTTTCAGCCACGCATCAATGGCCAGCGCGTGTTGGAAGTGGTCGTCTGAATGAGCGCTCCTTTGGCTCTGGTCCTTGAAACTTTTTGCGCGTCGTGTTTAGGAAATCTCCATGCTGCAAGGGATTTGCCCTAAGCTTCCGGCTATTCACCCAGCCTTCCCCAGCCCAGCTTTCTCTCTCTTTGCGGGATTATGCTGTCCATCCCCCCCCCCCGCAACTTATTTCTCGAGCGAACCTTAGATGCTGCGCTTTATGTCAGGGAACTTTATTTTACGCGCGGGAAGCAGCCGGGAGATATTGATCTCCAAGAAAACCTACTCGGTGCGCACCACGCAGCAGCTACTTGCAGCGTCTGCGCCCTTCCTGGGTGCAGGACATGCCCGGGACCATCTCTATATGCGACCCTCCACGCAGGGAAGCGGTGGAGCTGGGCGACTGAGGCGCCGAGCTAGCTTTCCCTCTCCGGAGCGCGCAAGGGCGCGCGGACGGAGCTGCTCGCCGCTGACCGGAGCGGTGCCTTAAGGCGCTCCCTGACGCCGCTCTTTACAGCCGAGAGGGGATTTTTAAACATGCCTCTTTAAAGGGGAAAGTAAGAGGGACATCCCTCGACTCCACAGCGCACACGTTCGGCAGATGGCATCAGTTCAGGCTGAGCGGAGAGGGCAGAGATGCGAGGCTTGCATAGCTCTGCGTCTCTTCCGCGATGGCCACGGACTCAAGGATGCCCAACAGGGATGCCGTGAGGGGCAGGCAGTCTCCGGCTCCCCGAGGACAGGAGATGGAGCAGGAAAGATTGCACGGGAGAGCGCGCAAGGGCGGCGTTTCTGGCTCCCTCCCTGCGCTTCGCGCGGCGCTCGGGGGCTGAGAAGTTTGCCGCGGCTCCAGGGCGAGGAAATCCGGACTGGTCCGTGGTTTCTTTCGCCACAGGGGCGGCGCACCCTTGGCCCCGACGCGCCCGCTCCTAATCCACTTATCCTACTAGTTAATGCCAGGCATCCGGATCACACCTCGTTTGGAACGAGGGTCACTTGAAGTCCGTCGGATTTGTGCCCAGTTGCGTTTCAGTCTGGGAAGGAACTCGCCTATCCCTACCCATGGAAATCTTTCAATCAAACGCAAAGCCTTTCCTCATTTTTTTGCCCCCGTCCCCTTATAAAGGATGTCTCGTTTGCCCCTAGTGCAGCGCCAGATTCTTGAGACGCGCACATGCACACCTTCTTTTTAAATCCGGAGTAACTCCCAGAGTAAAGAGTGTGATTGTAAAGAGTGGAAGCGAGTAATCGCGCCACACAAAAGACCCCTGGGAGAAATCCTCATTTTCGTGCACATGCGGCAGATCTAGAACGTGTGGTTTGGAGTAACTAATTCATGTTTATTGATCTTAGTAAGATTTAGCTCTTGCAAAGCACCCTAATACGTTTGAAACTAAAAGGTGGGGAAGTTAGGATAAAGAATAGTGTTTTTTTTGGGGGGGGGTTAAAGTTAGGGCTCCTTTGCGTTCCGACGGCGCGCAGGTGCATTTGCGCAAGTTCAGTTCCATTTGCTTTCCAAGAAAGTGTATTTAGGATCGCAGCCCAGACCTCTCTTTCTCCTCTCCTGCCTCTTTTGTTTTCCTCACTCCCTTGTCTGACGACGAGGATCACCCTCTCCCCTCCCCCTTGAACGAACCTCAAAGTCTTTTTTAGGAAACAAAACCCCCCACCGCTTTGCAGATCAATCAACTTCCAGGGCTCGCCCCTCGCTCCCCAAATGACGCAACAGTTTGCGGTGTCTTAATCTGCGGGAAGAAACGTGCTATGGAACTCCAGAGGTAAAGCTGATTTCTGCCGGGGAAGAATGGCTGACAGTCAAACGACTGAACTGCTCCGAAGCTAATTGTTTCCCTTCTCCAAACGCGCACTGGGGAGGCTTTTCACCAGGGCTTGCAAAACGCCGCGGCTGCCACATGACAAACGGGAGGAGGGTGGCTTTCAGCTGATGCCCAACATTAACTCAACGTTTTATTTAATAAAACAGTGCTTCTCCTCGCCGCCACTTCTTCTACTCCCCACCTCCCTTTTAAAACCTCGTTGGAGAAGTTTCAGACCTGGATATAGATTTATATTATGAGAGACTTATATAAACCCTTTGCAAAAAACAAAAAAAAAAAGCAAAGCGTGGCGGGGGGGGGGAAGGGTGATGAGAGGTATTGTAATGGAAGTGCTGACACCATCTTAACCATAGCGTTGTAAACGGCTATGCTATAATATCCATTAAGCAGAAAGAAAAATAAGATGGTTGATCAATAATTTATACCCAGAGTACCAACTGCAGACATAATAACTGTAATGTTTGCAAAGCAATCTCTCGCTCTCCAGGCTTTAACAGTAAACTCAAACTAGCCACGCTGTTAATTTCCAATCTCCCCCCCCCTTTCCCAGGTCCTCTTTTTTTCCAGACGAGAATACAAACAAATTACTTAAAAATTCTATTTTGCTCCTCATTTAGCATGCCTCACATGGGATCCGGGAGCAGGGATTTAATTATGATGTAACTCGGAGTGATTGCAGGGTGAGGCAGAGCTGGGAAGAGGTGGCAGAGCGAGCTAAGGAACTAGACTGGTGATTATGGGCACGTTTCTAGTTTTTAAAAAAGGAGTTTTTAACAACCACGGCCGGGGGAACCAATGCTCTCCCCGCTCCTGCAACACCCCGCCCGGCGAGGGAGAATCAAATGATGTAAAACCTGCCGGGCTTTGGGTCATCTCGATTCTTTGCAGTTATTCACACATGAAAATGGAGTGACACAGCTCAACTTCAAAGCAAGTCCCTGCGCTGGGCTGGGCTGTGGTTTTCTTTTTTTAAAGAGCCACTGTGGAAACACAATACCCCATGGGACGATAAGAATCAGTTTCACAAAACAATACCCCTTGCAGTTGAAAGAGAGAGAGAGAGAGAGAGAGAGAAGGGGGAGGGGGGAGCTTGGAAAATCAAGCCTTTTTGCTGCTTAAGTGGGAGTGGGTGGCGATCTCCCAGCACCCACGCAGAGACGCGATCCTAAGCACGCTTCCTCGCAAGGAAGTCCGGTGGAGTCCAAAGGACACCACGTAGTGTGTTCAGCATTGTACCCTTGTGGTCTGAGCCGCAACCCAAGGAACACTTACAAGGGAGTGAGTCCCATTGAGGTCCGTGTGGTTACTTCCCAGAATACGAGTGTGACATGTTCAGCTCTACGTTGTTTATTGTCATTTGCAGAGAAGCTTAACCAGCCATTTCCACTCAGTTATAATACAAGGCAAAGGTATTTGCTTAGAGCAAGCTCCGTTGAAATCGCCCAAACTCATGCACTTAAGGAACAGCCAGATCTCAAAACACGGGGAATTCTCTTTTACACACAAGAAATTTTCATAGGCTTAATGTGATACATGGAATTGGCCTGTTGTTGGCTGAATATCCATTTCATGGATAAATTTCATGTGTATTACTTCCCAAGCACACATGCCGGTCATACTTTAAAATAATGGGTGTTTTTACTCAGAGTAGGCCTATTGAATTGAATGGACCCAACGTAGTCATGTTCATGACTATCAATGGGGTCTACTGGGGGGGGACCTTAATTGGGTTTTATGCAGCACCACTCAAAGCAGACCCATTGAAATTAATGGACCTAAGTTAGTTGTTTTGATTCATTTTTGTGGGTCTGCACTAAGTAAAATAGATACAGCCCATTTACTTGGAGGGGTTTATACACTCAAGTTAGTGTGCATAGGATTGCAGCCTTAGCTGTAAATAAATTCCACTGGAATCCATGGGACTTACGGTCCCATAAAAGCTCTCCTTCATAAGACAGAGGGGTAGGCAGCAAATATTCAGATACGGGAAGGAAAAGTGTGTTTGCGCTTCTTTCTCAATTTAGGCTACATGTAAATAGGATTTAAAAG